TGGCACATTGGAAAAAATGTGAGCTGAAATATCAGGCAGGCCTGGATTCAAATCTTTCTGTCACTTACCGGCGTGTGGTCTTGGGCAAGTCACTTAGCCTTTCTGAATCTGTTTCTTCATCAGTAAAATACCCATCTCCTGGACCTGTACAGAGATAAAGTATGTTAATGCCATTATAAGCCTAATCTGGTATGTTGTTGGCCTCAGAGAAGGACGATCCTTCTTATAAATGGGGGCTCTGAGATTCACACCCAGACCCTTTGACTCCAACCAAGTCCAGTGCTCTCTGCTTCATTGGGCTGCCTCCCTTGTGTGCTGGAGAAGCAGGAGAGCAGAAACTAGGAGCCCACAGGTGGCTGGGAAAGTCCTGGCTGGCCTCAGCTGGCCCCAAGGATCTGGCCCCTACAGAACCCTGTGTGGGGTCCAACCCTGCCACCCCCATGGCCCTGCAGAACAGCAATGAGGCTGAGCCAGGGGCCTTCCTCTGGGGCCTGTGGGCCTATTTGCATGAGGCTATAAATAGTTGGTACACCTTGCTTTTGTGCCATTTCTTTACCTCCGGCCTCACCACCATTGTTCAGACACTCCACAAGGTAAGTGGATGACTCTGGCTCCACTGTGCAGGGGGGTCTTGGTGTATAGGGGTCCAAGACCTCTTCACCAGTTCATCTTCACCCAGTCTGTCTCCCTCCTGGAGTCCAGGTAGTGCAATGGGGTGGAGGGAGTGGAAGAACCTGGCTGGAGCCATGATCTAGTTTTAGTCCTAGGACTAGGTGATCTAACCCTAGGGTTACTGCTGAGGAGTGCCAGGAGGTCTCCGTCTTTGTGGTACTGTGGCTGGCTGTGCAGGTTTGGAGCTGGGGCCTGCTGTGGTTGTGGTTTTCCCTCTAGTGGCTTCTAGCTAACTGTGAGCAGCAGCTGCCCTGAGTGTGACTGCAGAGAGCTGGAGGACAGGCCTAATGGGCCCCGGGCTGGGCTTTGCCTCACCTTCCTAGGGCTTCTCTGATACTCTCTACTCTCCCCTCCTCCATTTAGCCCTTGAGTGGTCCCCATGGACAGCTCCTGCTAGGCCACCTAGAGGCAGAGGAGATCATGGAGTCTGAGGGCTATCTAGGCTAGGTCCTAAGGGGAGGCACTGGGCAAGAGGAGCTGCCAGAAGGTGTTTGGTGCACCTGCTGCTTCAGGCTGAGCAGCTCTGTGCTCTTGGAGACTTGGTTGCCCTATCTGAGAAGTGGGCTCAATTATCAGAACTGTCTTCCCAGGCTGATGGGCAGGTGGAATGGATGCCATGGGGGATGTGACTGTATTTTAACTGAGAAAGGAAGTGCGCAGGTGAGAGATGGAAGGAAGAAAGGGTGATAGCATTAAAAAGATCCTACCCTGAGGCCTGGAGGATTGATGTTGGGTCTTGTCCCTACACATCATCATGACAATGTACCAAGGGACCACTCTTTATCTGGAAGATGGGGGAGGGGGGAGTTGGGGAATGAAACTCAGAGAAGCCAAGGGCCCTGCACGGAGCCCCATAGGCAAAGCAACATTGGTACCAGGGTCTTACACCCAGTTTGACCATTATTTTGCCGCCCAGGGCTGTCCTCTCTCCCCTTTCCCCAGGAGCCAAGCTCCTGTGGCGCAACTACCGTTTCATCTCTGCCCACCTGCCCACTCAACCCTCATCCACTGATACACTCAGAAAGACTGTCATTGCCCCACCTGGATCTCAAGGTTATCTTGTGAGGAGGCATGAGGCTGAGCCATATCTGGTGGGTTCAGGCCCTGGGTATGTGGACACTGATATGTGGCAAGTATATGTTATGCAGAGGTGCTGCCGAACATTGTGGACCCCCAGGGAGCACTCACCTGGGTGTTCCACACCTCGGACCTCCAGGCCAGGCAGGGTGGCAGGAGGGGCATGATGTCTTTTTTGCTTGGAGGTTTGGGACACTTATCCAGACTCCTACACCCATTCCCAGCCAGACCCATGCAGCTCACTCTTCACTTCAACATTGCCTGAGTGCCCACCATGCACCACCCACTCACGTCCACAAAGGCACACACATCTCCACAGCTGTGCAGTCAGTACACCCACATGTACCTTCACACATATCGACTCGTACACTCATGCATGTTCTGGAAACAGTGGGAGCCCACAGTTGGCTCTCCCTCCCTATTACTGAGAGGTCATGGCAGCTGCTTGGCTTGGCTCAGGCTGAAGGCTTTGAGACCTGGGTTCAGACTCTAGTTTGCACACCCACTCTCACTCCCTCTGAATAGGAGCCAGGCCCAGGTAGGGGACATGGTGGTGTCTGCCCCTCCTGGTTGCTCCTCTCTACTCTGGCTGCTGGCCTTAGAGGACTGGCCAGTCTACTGGGCTCGGGTATAGGCTGAGGTCAGTGTTTCCTGTGAGCTCATCTGGGCTGGGAGCTCCCAGCAGACTGGTCTAGCTGCTGCTCCGGCTTCCTTGTGGAGGAGCCGCGGGAGCCATTCCAGGGTAGTGTGGCTGCTGCATGTGCTCACATACTTGTGTGTGGGTAGGGGTGCGTCTCTGAGTCTGCCTCTCTGCCAGTCTATTGTGTTCAGGATGGAACATGAGTACATATGTACGTGTATGTACATGAGCATTATGTTCATTCAGCCAGGGTTATGGAGTGCCGTCCTGTTTGGGGCCTAGACCTGGAGCCAGTGTCTGAGTAGGTGTATAGGAGTATGCAAGCGTGGGCTTGCACATGTGAGCATCCTCCATCAGGGTCACCTCTTGTAGTGACCCTCTATTTGAGGAACGGTGAGGAATGGGGGAGCATGGGGCCAACCTGTGTAATTTAAAAAGCAAATTCAGCGTTATATTGAACATTAAAATAGTGTTATATTTGGAAAAAAAATTTGTTTGAAAGTGCAGGCAACCTTCTGCGTAGATGAGAGGCCCCCGGTCCCAAACAAAGTCAGTGCTTCGTTAATAGAATCCCAGCTTCAGGGGCTGGCTTGGCCTCAGGGTGTCAGTTTCCCTGTCTGAAAACTGGGGGTGGTTATCTTGGCCCTGCTTGTCTGCTTGAGTAGTTAGGAGCAAAAGTCTTTGAAAACCAGAAAGGGCTATGTGGGGCAGGATGTGGGGAGGAGGGGCCACTGGCCTGCCCATTTTGGCCAGCACATGCCGGGTACCTGGCATATAGTAGGTGTGCACAGTTGGGTATTAAATGGGCATTGAATGACTCCTCAAATGAACATCTAGGGGTCACAGAGTCAAATGGCTCCAGGGCCCAGGTAGGTTTTAGAGAAGAGTGAAAAGGAGTCCCTGCCTAAAGTAGACTGGCAAGAGTGCCTGTCCAAGGGGGCAGTGCCAGCCAGCTCTTGCCTGATGTCCCATCTTCTAGTTTTACCAAGGATGCCACAAATCTAGACTTATATAAAACTTCTCAATTTTAACATTGGCAACTAGGACGAGTGCATCATAGGCACCATGTGGGCCAGACTCAATGCTGTGAGAGCCCTGTGGGGAGCGGATACCTGACCACCTCCCAGGGCTGTACCTGCTGGTCCTGCCCTGCTACCCAGCCTTACCCCTTCTGTCTCCACAACCCCACTACAGGCCCCAACATGGCACCATTCCTGCGCATTGCCTTCAACTCCTACGAGCTGGGCTCCCTGCAGGCCACGGATGAGGCAAGCCAGCCCTTCTGTGCCGTGAAGATGAAGGAGGCACTCAGCACAGGTAGAGCTGGAGGCTTGGAGAGGTAGCAGCAGCCAGTGGGGTAGGGAGTCGGGGCCCAGAGGGTGGCACTGGTAGGGGCCAGGCCCTGTTCCCTCAGAACCTCTGAGAGATCCTATTCTTCCTCATCCCTCTCCCTAGCCCAGCTGTGGATGCAGGACAGCAGAGGCCAATAGGGCGTCCAGTACTGGCAGCATGGAGCCCTCACTGGGGCTTGGGGCTTCCAACTCCTCCCCATTGGTTGTTTCACCCCATAATTTTCACACGTCTATCTGTGCCAGGCCCTGTACTGGGCACTTAGGACACTACTGTTTTCCAAGGCTGACCTGGCCCTGCCCTTGTGGGGCTCACAGTCAGGTGGGGGAGCCAGACAATGAGTCTTGTGATTGGGAAGCTGAGAGTAGGCACCGTCCCAGGCTAGAGTTAGGGATATCTTCCTGGAAGAGGCAAATATCTTCCTTCTTGTTTCTGCCTTCATCTGGCGAACCGTGTATCATCCTTTAGGTCTCAGCTGAGCTGTCCCTTCCTCTAGGAAGCCTTCCCAACCCTTAGGCTGGGGCAGGCCCCCTGACATGGGCGGGTCTAGAACCACTGGCCTTGCTCACTTCAATTTCGTTACAGCTATGATTTAACATTTACCTGAGGAATGAACTGGTTCACGTCTCTGCCCAGGACTGAGGCTCTAGGAGGGCAGGCACCAGTTTAACTTTTCTTTCTGCTGTTTCTTGCCTCCAGTAATGTGGCTGGCATGTGAAAGCTCTCTTCATGTGTTCACTGAGTGAATGCATAGGGAAGGGGACATCTCAGTGGGGCTGGAGGTAAAGGGTCACAGGAAGAGGGAGCAGCAGGAGAAAGGGCCTGGAGCTAAGACCTGGCAGGGCACCCAAGAGAAGCTGCCAGCAGTTCTGTGTTCTGGAGCACGTGAATGAGATGAGGCCGGTGAGGTGAGCAGAACACAGTTGTACAGGCTGAGGAGTAGAGACTCAGCCCCAAGGACAGTAGGGAGCCATGGCAGACCCTTGAGGGGAGGGAGGGCCAGGCAGATTCTATCAGGGCTGAAGGCTGTGGGAAGTCCAGGGATGGAGGGACCGAGGAGCCTTCACTAGATCTGGTTGGCTTGGCCCCTGTTGCAGAGCGCGGGAAGACACTGGTGCAGAAGAAGCCCACCATGTACCCTGAGTGGAAGTCCACATTCGACGCCCACATATACGAGGGCCGTGTCATCCAGATTGTGCTGATGCGGGCAGCGGAGGAGCCAGTGTCTGAAGTGACGGTGGGCGTGTCAGTGCTGGCCGAGCGCTGCAAGAAGAACAACGGCAAGGCTGAGTTCTGGGTGAGGGGTGCACGAAGTGCCGTTGTGTGTGTGTGTGTGTGCACGCTCGCGCGTATGGTGAGCGAGCATGGCTGCCGGGTGCAGCTTTGCAGCCGACATAGCCTGAATTAGAATTCTGACTTTACGGTTTATCAAAGCCTTAGTTTTTCTGAGCCTGTTTCCAGATCTGTAAAATGGAGAAGCTGCTAAAAGATTCTACTGCAGGGTCAGTCGTTCAGATGAAATGAGCAGTTGGATTAAAAGGGCTAATTGTAGAACTGGGCACAGAGTAGGTGCTAAAGAGAGCCATCCTTATTATTGTGACTACTTTTTTCCCTTTTAATTTTGTAAAGGCAGGATGTGCAAATAGTAAAACATTTCAAACTGTATGTAAGAATGTGTTTGACCCTAACCCCAGGCTCCAGCCCCCCTTCTCAGAGGCACCCATTGTTCCCAGTTCTGTTTAGAATGCCCAGGCAAGCATCTGGGAGCATCAGTTATGATCTTCAACATGGGAAGGGTGAGAGAAAGGGAAGGCTGATAACCCGCTACTTACCTGCCAAACTAGGACTCTGCACATGCATATTGTCATGTGTCCCTCGTGACCACAGGATGCCAGTGTTGGCAGAGCATCTCCTGCCCCTTGGGGTTACATGTGGTCTCCTGCAGCCAAGACGTCCCCTGGAAAAGACTCTGTGCTCGTGACCACAGGATGCCAGTGTTGGCAGAGCATCTTGGTCTCCTGCAGCCAAGACGTCCCCTGGAAGAGACTCTGTGACCATCGGGGACCCTGGTCAGCCTCCAGTGAGGGGTGAAGGGGTTGGGCCAAGAGAGAAGTTGACCCAGGCCTGCACTGACCCTCGGCCAGTGCTGAGCTCTCTGTCTATTACCCCAAGGGACAATGTCAGTCACCAGGCCTGGGTTCTAGGGGTGGTGTGGGTCCTGCCCTTAGAACCAGCCACTCCGTGTGAGGAGACTGGACATGCAGAACCCCTGACACAGAGAGAGAGAACCAGCATGAGTGTGTCAGTGTGCATGTGTCTGTGTCTCTGCATGTTCAGGGGGGCAAGGGGCCTCCATTCTAAGATCCTTGTTAAGGGGACAGCAGGGTTCGAGGGTGGGGAGTTTCCCTTTTCACTCTGCTCCTGGGCCATGTGGCCAGGCTGGGTGTGGGCTGGAGCCTTTCACTTCCCCAAGTGTAATAATACCCCTTGGGTTGGGGGCGTGGCTCAGGGGCGGGGCTGGGCCTGCCCACACTGGTCAGACAGGTGTTTGCTAGGCTGCCAGGACTTCCTTGGCCTTGAGGGGGGCCAACCATGGGGGCGGGTTCTGAGTCTGGGCCCGCCCTCCTTGACCCTCCCCTCACCCTCACCCCTGCAGCTGGACCTGCAACCCCAGGCCAAGGTGTTGATGTCCGTGCAGTACTTCCTGGAAGATGGAGGTAAGACCCTCCCTACCTGGGCTGGGGATGTTGGTAGAGGCCAGAGCCAGGACAGAGGTTTAGAGAAGCAGCCTCTGTAGACAGTCTGTCCAGGGCCACCCTGGGAGGGACTGTAGGAGTGTTGCCCCTCTGGGGCTGCAGCTGACCTCACTACTCCATGGCTCCCAGATTGCAAGCAGTCTATTCGGGGTGAAGATGAGGCCAAGTTTCCAACAATGATCCGCCGTGGAGCCATCAAACAAGCCAAAATCCACTACATCAAGAACCACGAGTTTATCGCCACCTTCTTTAGGCAGCCCACCTTCTGTTCTGTGTGCAAAGATTTTGTCTGGTAAGGGCTGGCTGTGCCCACTGGGGGTGGAGCGGGGGTAGGGACGGGTACACCTAGTACTTCCTCACACTCACCCTGCCCGGGGATTTGCCTTTCAGGGGTCTCAACAAGCAAGGTTACAAATGCAGGCGTAAGTATCTCCACAGTCCGGTTTGTATATATACGTGTGCCTGCCAGTGCCTGTGTGTGTTCACAGGAGAGCCTGGTCCCTGTGTTGAGACTGCATGTCTGTACTAAAACTCTCTATCCTTGAATGTGCACGTGTGGGATTTTCCACGTACGATAGCTGCATTCAGTAAGTGCTGGAGCTGGCTTGCTCCGGCTCATGAAAGCCAATTCTGTGTATCTCCTCTGAACTCTTGGCATTCAGTGACATCACACTGGTAGACTGAAATAGGCCACAGTAGAGTATTTACATAGAGATCAGCCAGTGCTGCCCATCAAAGCTCTTTACCCCAAGAGAGGCTGTTAGATCGTGACTGGCACACCTATGTGCTTCTGTGAAATAACATGTGCGTCTGGGTATACACATACGAGCACACCTTTCTCTCCAAGGGTGCATGCACCAGGTGTTGTGGGCCGGCGGTTATGAGCACAAGCTCTGGAGCTAGACTACTTGGGTTTGAATCCCAGCTCTACCACTTCCTAACTGTAGGGCCTTAGACAAAGTTACTTAACCTTTCTGTGCCTCAGTTTCCTCATCTATAAAATAGAGATAATAGTCATTATGGAGATCAAATGGGATAAAATATGTATTTTAAATGTAGCTAGCACATGTTAAGCATTCTACATAAGAAAACTTGTCATTATTAAACATGCTGTGTATGTGTGTTCAGGTGTCTGAGCTAGGGTGCAACTGTCTGTGTGCATGTGCATGAGAGCTTAGAAGCTTATGTCCTGTGGCATAGTAAAGGGAAAGGGGGCTCCCCTGCCCCCACTTCTCTCACTGCAATACCTCACTCCCCTCACTTCTGCCCCATCCTACCCCCGCCTCCGCCCAGGACTCCTTGAGCCTTTTCTAATCTCAGATCCATGGGCCTGTCCTCTCTGCCCTGCCTTTCTCAGGCCCCTCCTTCAAGGGCTGGCCAGAGGAAAGAAAAATCAAGCTCTGGGCCTGAGGCCTCTGTGGGGTGAGGGTGTGGGCAGTTGGGAGAACGGTGGCTTTGTGTAGGGGGCTGGACTGAGCCAGCTCACAGACTCTGCTCTTCCTGGTGCCTTCCCATCCCCCTCCTGGGCCTGTGCCTCCTCAAGAATGCAACGCTGCCATCCATAAGAAATGCATCGACAAGATCATCGGCCGGTGCACCGGCACTGCGACCAACAGCCGGGACACCATAGTGAGGCTGGGGCAGGGCCCTGGGGATTTGGGGGGGCTTGGCCACGTGGGAGGGATTTGGGCTGTTTCTTCCCCGTTCCCTGTGGGGCTCACCCTTCCTCCGTTTTTCTTGGTTTTTCCTTGGACCTCCGGGTTTCCCCATCCCTGGTGGAGCCCTGTTGGTATCTCACTATGCATGAGGTTGGGGGAGAGCTAGGAGTTGGGGAAGGGGCTAGAGCTGACATGTGACCCTTGACCTGTGACCCCCTCACCCCAGTTCCAGAAAGAACGTTTCAACATCGACATGCCTCACCGGTTCAAGGTTTACAACTACATGAGCCCTACCTTCTGTGACCACTGTGGCAGCCTGCTCTGGGGACTGGTGAAACAGGGATTAAAGTGTGAAGGTGTGTGCCATCTAGCTCTGCAGGCTGGGGTGGAGGTTGTGGAGGGGCTCCCAGCTGTGCCTACTTACCTGGACCTCATAAACTCCACCTAACTGATGCTGCCTTTGCCCCCTTGCTGAAGGATTGCACATGGTGTGGCCTGGGCAACACCTTCCCACTGGCCCGACTAGCTCTACCATTTAGCTGCTGTATGACCACTGGACAAGAGGCCCCACCCCTCTGATCTCTGCATTCTCAAGTGTAAAATAGGGGTAAGAGTAGAGTAGGACCCAGAGTCACTGCTACACACAAGCAGGTGCTCCCCAAATATGCCTCATGGACCCTCTCCCCAACCCCAGCTTTACTGCTAGAGGAGAAACAAGAGACCCCTGGAGAAAAAGGGACTTGTCTAGGTCATCCCACGCATTCTTTGAAGGGTTCAGAATTAGGTCTCATAGCTTCTGATTTTTCTTTTTCTTCTTTAAATAATGAAAGATTTTAAGTGCTTTTGATGGCTTCAGATACATTTTTTCTAAAGACAGGACACCCAGCAGACCCCCACAAAAGCCTTTCTTCTGCTCTCTCCTCCATGCTCTCTCCTCCCTGTCCTGGCTGGGCCTGGGGCAAGGGAGACAGTTCTCTTGGAGTCTGTTGGTTGCCCTGCTTGGGGTGGGGCCCTGATGGCCTTGCTTCTCTCTCACCCCAGACTGTGGCATGAACGTGCATCACAAGTGCCAGAAGAAGGTTGCTAACCTCTGCGGCATCAACCAGAAGCTCTTGGCCGAGGCATTGAACCAAGTCAGCCAGGTGGGCATCGCCGTGGGAATCCAGGACAGATGGTGATGAGGTTGGGGGTAGTCAGGGCTCACACCCACTCCCAGGGAAAAACAGCGGGGGCTTTGTACCCAAGATCCCACTTTTGGAAGATCCAGTTCAAGAAGTAGAACTCAAGTTATTCAAGTACTTTACTTGAGGGTAAACTTGGGGGCTGCAAGGTTGCAACACTTTGAATGAAAAGCCTTTGTGTGTATATGTTTTGTGTATGTATTGGGTGGGGCTGGGGGGTTGAGGATTGCCACAAAACGTTAAGGTACAATTCTAGAATCAACCACGAGTGAAGACAACACAAACAAAAATCTATCGCCTAAGTGATTGGGAAGGTGGTGTCTAATTTACAAAACTTTTGTTGTAACCACTGCCTTCCAAAGCACTGAGGCATCCCTGTGCTGCTGGAAGGGAGGGTGTGTGTGCGTGCGCACGTGTGCGAGTACATGTGCGTGTGTATGTGTCTATGCACTGTCTGGGGGCCCCAGGCTCTGCCCCTGCTGTCCCTCTTTGGTATCAAGGGTGGAATTATGGCTGGTTGGGGTCCTCCCTCTGGGCTGGGAGTTCTAACCATGGTGTGACCAACTGCCTGGACCCCCAACCCGAACCCCTCCCTCCAGAGATCCGTCCGGAAGTCAGAGACGGAACCTGCAGAGCCTTTTGGGATCTACCAGAATTTCGAAAAAAAGCCGGGAGTCTCTGGAGATGATGTCCCAGGTAAAGCTGGGCCCATTCCCCCCAGGAAAGCCCCCACTCCCCACTGTGGTCCAGGTTGAGACCTAGCCTCTCTTCTCAGTCAAGTGAGGCCTGAGAGGACATACCACCATGAGGGATGAGCCCCTTCCTCTCTGAGGCCCCTTACCCCACCCCATCCCTGGGCCCCAGGCGAGGGACTCAGCCAGTGGAGAACTGGGTCTGAAGTGTTGTTTCTCCAGCAGACAACGGTACCTATGGCAAGATCTGGGAGGGCAGCACCAGGTGCAACATTGAGAACTTCATCTTCCACAAGGTCCTGGGCAAAGGCAGCTTCGGGAAGGTGAGGTGCCACATGGCTCTGGGGTGGCCCAAGGGACCTGGGCCTAGCAGCCCAGAGGCATCTGTTTCCCACCCTCCCTGGCTTCTTCCTGATTGTGTAGAGACAACGGTACCTATGGCAAGATCTGGGAGGGCAGCACCAGGTGCAACATTGAGAACTTCATCTTCCACAAGGTCCTGGGCAAAGGCAGCTTCGGGAAGGTGAGGTGCCACATGGCTCTGGGGTGGCCCAAGGGACCTGGGCCTAGCAGCCCGGAGGCATCTGTTTTCCACCCTCCCTGGCTTCTTCCTGGCTGTGCTGCCCTGGCCTTTGGCCCAGGCCTTTCCTGCTTAGCACTGCCATCCACCCTTCAGGTGCTGCTTGCAGAGCTGAAGGGCAAAAAGGAGTTCTTCGCTGTCAAGGCCCTCAAGAAGGACGTAGTTCTGATCGACGATGATGTGGAGTGCACCATGGTGGAGAAGCGGGTGCTGGCGCTCGCCTGGGAGAATCCCTTTCTCACCCACCTCTTCTGCACCTTCCAGACCAAGGTGCTTGACCCTCTCTCTGTCAGTGTCCCTGGAGCTACAGCCCCCCTCAGGGCAGGGCCGTGTCTCCTACTCAGACCACTTGAAGCAGCGCTGTGTCCTTGTCCTCAGCACTGTGTCCTTGTCCTCAGCACAGGGCTGTGTCTCCTCTCAATACATCCCCCAGGGTAGAGTTGTCCACCACTTCCGTGGCCCTCAATGAGGGAGCCTCCCACCCATTTCTGTGCCTCTGCACCCTCCCCACCCCAGGATCACCTGTTCTTCGTGATGGAGTTCCTCAACGGGGGGGACCTGATGTACCACATCCAGGACAAAGGCCGCTTCGAGCTATACCGTGCCATGTACGTGAGGGCCCTGCGGGCGGAAGAGACTTCTGCTGGCCTGCCTCTCATTGCTTCTTCCTTCTTCTTGGAGAAGCAAGCCTGGGCTAGATCTGGGGTTGGAGGGATTTGGGGTAGCCAGGGCCGCCCCCACTGTATGGGAAACCTGGGCAGTGGGTGAGCTCTGGCTGGGAGCACAGCACAGACATGTTGAGTCCTGTTCCTTCCTTGGGCTTCAGCCAAGGCAGGTGGTGATCTTGCACAACTCAGGACCCTAGTGTGTGACCTCCGGACTAGCACGCACCCCCAAAACTGTGTGTATGCATGTGTGTATATATGTTCATAAATATGTACATGAATAGAAATGCATACACTCTTATGACATAAAATTGTCTTATTTGGAGGTTTTCCTTCATAATTTTTTCTGCCCTGGCTGCCAGCCGTGCACACACACACACACACACACACCCCACCCCACCCCCTGCTGTGTTGCCTGATACAAGGTGTACTTGATCTCAGCCCAGGTTGTCCGTGGAGTTATTTGCAGCATTTCCTGCCCCTGGGGGTGGGGATGAGGGACCAAGGAAAAGCAAGGACTGATTGGCAGAAATTCCAGAACACTTTCTCTCTCTCATATCCAGGTTTTATGCGGCTGAGATAGTCTGTGGACTACAGTTTCTACACGACAAAGGGATCATTTACAGGTGCGGAGGTTGAGAGTTGGGGTTTGGGGAGCTTTTAGGAGGGGAAGCTCTAACCCCATCCTATCCTCTGAAATTCTCTGAGTGGGGCCCCAGCCCAGCTATGGCCCCATCTCCACTTGGAGTTAGTCTTTAGTTGGGTATTTGCTTAAACCTCCTACTCCATTGCTAGAATTCCTTTGGCCCCTCAGCTGAGGCTGGCACGGCTCCAGGGGCTGAGAACTCACTGCCCGTACTCAGAGACATTGTCGGGAGCGCAGCAATGA